AGCCTGCCCTCCACAGAACCGACGCGTTAACATTGTCTCTAAAGGGTAACACGGTGTCCCACATGAAATGAATGAGATCAGAGCAGCTACAGAGAAATCGCCGGTGAAGACGGGCACTTTAATTGGTCTAGAAAATCAGTGTTAAAGGTTCATTGTGTAACTTTTCTGGTGGAGCCTCTGTCAAATATTTTTCTCAATGGAGATGTTATTGCTTTGTCTGGGATGTTACACAGTGTGGCATTAAACCTTTCTATCTTCATGGAGACCAAACAAGACCAAATTACAGGTCAGGTCTGTGGAGAGGCGACCCCGCTCACAGTCAGAATGTCTGTTTTTCTATTTTATTTCTGTATTTTTATTTCTGTTTTTTTTCACCTGTAATTCAATAAAGCAGCGGTGTAGCGGGAATTTTTTAAGTGAGGGCACGCGATTCGTGACATTATCAATATGATGAGTCCCGTCCACCTGAACCAGGACTAAACAAGGACTAAACCAGGACTAAACCAGGTCTAAACCAGGACTAAACCAGGACTAAACAAGGACTAAACCAGGACTAAACCAGGTCTAAACCAGGTCTACACCAGGACTAGACTAGGACTAAACTAGGACTATAGCAGGACGACGCCAGGACTATACTAGGACTAAACCAGGACTGAACCAGAAATAAACCAGGAATAAACCAGGACTACACCAAGACTAAACCAGGACTAAACCAGGTCTAAACCAGGTCTAAACCAGGACTACACTAGGACTAAACCAGGACTAAACCAGGTCTAAACCAGGACTAAACCAGGACTACACCAGGACTGAACCAGGACTAAATAAGGGTTAAACCAGGTCTAAACCAAGACTACACCAGGACTACATTAGGATTAAACCAGGACTGAACCAGGACTGAACCAGAAATAAACCAGGACTACACCAAGACTAAACCAGGACTAAACCAGGTCTAAACCAGGACTACACCAGGTCTAAACCAGGACTACACCAAGACTAAACCAGGACTAAACCAGGTCTAAACCAGGTCTAAACCAGGTCTAAACCAGGACTACACTAGGACTACACTAGCACTAAACCAGGACTGAACCAAGACTACACCAGGATTACACCAAGACTAAACCAGGACTAAACCAGGTCTAAACCAGGACTAAACCAGGACTACACCAGGACTGAACCAGGACTAAATAAGGGTTAAACCAGGTCTAAACCAAGACTACACCAGGACTACATTAGGATTAAACCAGGACTGAACCAGGACTACACCAGGACTGAACCAGAAATAAACCAGGACTACACCAAGACTAAACCAGGACTAAACCAGGTCTAAACCAGGACTACACCAGGTCTAAACCAAGTCTAAACGAGGACTAAACCAGGACTAATTTTCACCCGAGAGCGAGAGAGAGAACCCCGAGCCCCCAGTGCAGGGTGTCCACAAAGCCCAATCGGGCGACGGCTACGCTCTGCCCTGTGGGGCGTGGAGCTCTGCGTCAGTCCATTCTCCTGCGGTCATTAGACGGTCTACATCAGCACACCTCCAGGCTCGTCCCAACACTCAGTCCTGGTTCAGTTCTGGTTAAGTCCTGGTTTAGACCTGGTTTAGACCTGGTTTAGACCTGCTTTATTCCTGTTTTAGTTCTGGTTCAGTCCTTGGATCAGTCCTGGTAACACACAAACCCTGCATATTTAGGCTGAGTTCTTCTCTCAAACAGAAAACACTCTGTTCCACCTTGTGATGTCATGCGGTAATACAGTTAGAGCTCCACTGTGTTTTTAAATTCCATACACCTTCACTAGATACAGCGAATATGGGACCTTTAAGTTTTTGTGGCAATGTAATTAAAGATTCACTTTGTAACTTTTCTTGTGAAGAGTTGTGCTGGGATCTTATTTGCCTAGAATATTCCACAGTATTCAACATATCATTTTATCCATTTCTGCTCATACTAAATTCTATAGAGGAGTCAATATTCTGTTAGTCTATCTTTAAATAAACGAACAGAAGAATATACAAGTTCATGATGACAAAAGGAATAAAACAACAGTGTACTAACATGACGTAGAATCCCATGAAGCAATCTCTCTTTTCACCAAAAGCAATTTGCGACCAAATCATAATCTCTTCACACTCAGTAAGCCGGACACAGCAGAGACACTTTAGGTAGAGTTTCATGTAAACCAATCATGTCAAATCCAATGATGAAGAGCTTTATTTCCACTGGAACTTGCACTATGACTTTCATCTATTTGACTACATGACTTTCATCTATTTGTCTTATGAAAAGAAGTTAAACCCTGGTGAGAGCGAATCCCACTGGCTCACAGCCCCTAACACACGTGTCTCCTGCGTGTTCAACTCCACAGATAACGCACAAGACCAAGGTGTTTAATACTTACAAAACGATGGATCATATAAAGCAGGGATGTCAAACTCAAATTCACAGAGGGCCAAAATTAAAAACTGGGACTAAGTTGTGGGCCAAACTATATATTTATCGAAAAAGTTCACCAATATCCACGTTTTCTTTTCTTTCGAGATATGTAATGTTAACTTTTCTTATTAAAATAAATGTTTAATCATAGTTTTGTTGAAACATTGAATCCAGAACAAACATAATATAAAATAATAACACAATTTTAAATAAATAATGTGTCTATAGTCTATCTGTAGCCGGCGGGCAGCTCTAATGCATGTTTGATATGATCTCGCGGGCTAAATATAATTATATCGTGGTCCAAATTTGGTCCCCAGGCCTGAGTTTGACATGTCTGATATAAAGTATTCATAATAATGGATCAGTTAATTCATTAATAATAACAGTGCATTAGTCTTATGTAGGACTTTTCGAGATGCTCCGAGTCGCTTAAGAGTTTCATGCCTTATTATTATTATTCATTCACTCTAAACTCAGAGGTGATAAGCTTCTTTTGTAGCCACAGCTTCTCTGGGGCAGACTGAAGGAAGCAAGACTGACAATCTGTAGCATCATTCCATCCAAACACCAACAGCACTCACACTCACACACCACATCCTGCTTAGCTCAAGAAATCTGATCAGGATTTGACATGCTGCTATGGCCATGATTTACACTTATTTTTTTATAAGGAACATAACGTAACAGGGGTGTAACAATAACCAAAATATTGTGATATTGTATTATCAAAAGTTTCTCAATTATATCGTTGGCCATCACAATATATCGAATCACAAGTTGCTCTGCTTAAATTAAGAGTTATGGTGCAGCAATAGCTAAAAAAAACAGAGGGAACTACACAGACCATGATCCTTTGCTCCATTTTGGCTAAAACTACATGAAGAAATAACAGTTCTAAGCACTTTTAAATCTTAGTTCTTTGGATTAAGTCTTGTCAGGGCATTTTAAGAGGAAATAGTAGCATCTTCACAATTTTGAGTCTCCACAAAATATCACAATAAATATTGTACCATGAGATGTATATCGTGAAATTATCATACTGAGAGATTTGGATTTTGTTTAGGGATGTAACAATATGCATGTCTCACGATACGATATTATCATGATATGCATCTCACTATATGATATTTATTGCGATATTTTGAAGAGCGGAGACACTTTTTTGCTTTTAAAATACCTTGACAAGATTTTGGTGTGAATTATTTCCGTCATAATCCCAAGAATTCAAGTAAAAACATATTTCTTCATGTTGTCTCCACTGAAATTAATCATGGGAGATGTAGTTCTTATGTATATTAGCTGCTGCTGCTGTAAAACCATGTGTTTAAGCAAAGAAACTTGTGATTGGATATATTGTGACCAGCCCATGATATTACTGTGACACTTGACAATACGATATCACGATATTTCGGTTATTGTTACGTCCCTAAAACATAACGTTAAACTTCCAAACTTGCAATGACTTTTTCCCAAACTTTAGGTTTATATACAATAACGAATCCTAACTACTAGGGACAACAATAGGGTAACAATAACCGAAACATCATGATATTGTATAATCAAAGTTCTCACAATAATATCGTGGACCATCACAATATATCGAATTACAAGTCTCTTTGCTTAAATTAAGAGTTATGGTGCAGCAATAGCTAAAAAAGACAAAGGGAACTACATAGACCATGATCCTTTGCTCCATTTCAGTGCAGACTACAAGAAGAAATAACAGTTCTAAGCACTTTTAAGTCTTAATTCTTTGGATTCTTGTCGGAAGTCTTGTCAAGGCCTCCACAAAATATCGTAATAAAGATCGTACTGTGAGCTGTATATCATGAAAATATCGTACTGAGAGATTTGAATATTGTTACATCCCTAATCGTGAGTTTTCCCACGATATCTCAATAAATATCGTACCGTGAGGTTCATACTGTGATGATATCATATCGTGAGACTTGGATATCGTTACACCCCTACTAACTACCTTATGTCGCCTAAAACTAGTGCATGAAACGTGCTGAAACTTAATTATTCTGAGGACGTCTGATTAAAAAGCTTCTACAAACTCGCTTTTTCTTGAAAACAACAGCGTATCCTGACTTTCTAGTGCACTCCCGCAGCATACTGAGCACTACCTGAGAGTAACAATCAGGGAAAGTGATGTGAGAGCTGAACTTGCACTTTCACTTTCACCTAATCCACTGCTCTGGGTCAATACTCTCCCCGTACATCATCCGACACCTGCCCGCTTCAGGGGGGGGGGGGGGGATGCTCACAGCTCTCCTCCGTCACCACCACCGCGTTTGGACAGCACCAAAACACCAGTACGAGGCCTGTGCTCCTGTCTCCAATGCACTACCAAGCACGGTCCTCCTGTCCCTACCCGAACCAGAGCGGCTGGAGGCGACTTGTTACGCGCAGCATCACCGCTTTTTGTCGGATAAACATCTGGTAAACAAAGGTTACGCACGGGAGACGGCGAGGGAAGCGTGCGTTTTGCGTTCACAGCGTCACCAGGAGTGTTTTCATATGATTCCCAGCGCTGTTATTGATGCTAGTAGACACACTTACCTTCCATATCCAGGCCATTATTCACTCCTTAGCGGACAACAGTGAAGCGGTGGTTTTATTTGGTTCCGAAACGCAGGCGGACGCACGGCTTTCCCCAGGACATTTAACCAAAGTGGCGGCGCGCAGGAGGCGGGGATGCGGCGCGGGCAGAAGCGGCAGACAGCGGAGGACAGGGCAGCGCCATAAATGTTTCAGTGCACCGTTATACGTCTCTGCTTTCCGCGGAGGAGCGTCGGGGAGCCTGGGCTGACGCTGCGCTCTTATTGGGCGAAGATGGAGCCAAGACCCGCCTCTATCCCGAGTCATGTGACGGTGCATTGGGGTTTGTGGAACTGCAACTGCGAAACACTCAGAGATAATCTACGGAGGTGTATTTACTTTCACTGATATGGCGTTTCTGAAAGAGCCTACATTATTATTTTTAAAGAAACATTGGTTGAATTTTCCCAACGTGGTTAAAGTGAGAAGATAGTTGTCGTGTATTCAGTAAGGCTACATTTACTGGAGTTTTTTAAGAACTTGTACTTTTCTAGCAGCATACTTTTACTCCTGCTTGAGTAATATGTTTAGTGAATGCACAGTACTCTTACTTGAGTTACGGGTTTGGTTCCTCTTCCCTCTGTGAGGAAGTCAAGTGACATAATGTTGACAATATGAAATGATTTGAACATTGCGTTTCTTGTGCCACTTCTTCATGTTGTTTGATCGGAAAATGCAGAACTTCATTACAACTATTTGAATCTGATTGGAGGAAGTGACACAACAGCAGACCAACACAAAAAATCAAACTTTAAATTCATCTGAGAGAAAAGCAGATATCTTCCTTGTCCGTAAATGTGTAAAGCTCTTACCTTGTGCATGTTTTTCACAAAATAAATAGTCTGAATTGATGGCTGAAAAAAGGTTGAAGTACGTCTGTCGGTGTCATCATGTTTGGGTTTTGTTTTTTCACCTTTAGCTCTGTCCAAACCTGAGTGCTGCTCTGTGATTGGTCCACCTGCCCTAGATTCACACCAAGATGGATTCTTGATAGTTTGAGAAATCACAAATATTGCTAAAATATGTCTTGCAAATTTATGTCAAAGCCTGGTCTCGTCAGATCTCAGACCAATTTTATCAAATGCTGATCTTGAAGTGAATGTTCAACCTTTTATTTCATCTCAGTTAGATTATTGTAATTCTCTTTTTAATTGTTTTAATGCTTCTACAATTAAGCGGCTGCAACTTGTACAAAACGCGGCTGCAAGTTTTTTAACAGGAGCAAACAGGTGAACTCACATTACACCTGTTTTATCTTCACTGCACTGGCTTCCTGTTAAGTTCCGTGTTGATTTTAAAATTTTGGTTTTAACTTACAGAGCTTTAAATGGACAGGCGCCCCAGTACATCAGTGACTTACTGCGCCCCTACTCCTCAGGCCGCGCCCTCTGGTCCTCTGGTCAGCCTCTTGATGATCCCAAAGACCCAATTTAAAACTCGGGGTGATGTTTGCTTTCAGGCTGTGGCTCCCAAATTATGGACTGCCCCGCCCCTAGCCCTACATGAGCCAGACTCTATAGACTCTTTTAAAAAGCAGCTCAAGACACTGCTCTTTACACAGGCTTTTAGTTGACTGTGTCTGTAATTTGTTTTTACGTAAAGCACTTTGTGATTTTTTTATCCGTGAAAGGTGGTATGTAAATAAAGATTTACTTACTTACTTATCTCAAAAGCTAAGCAGAGCTGGGCCTGGTTAGTACTTGGATGGGAGACCGCTGGGAATTTCAAGTGCCACAGTGGCGTTATCATCCATATTGACTAGTATGAACGTGTTTTGATGGTGGGAGGGTCAGATGGTGCAGACTGGCAGCCTCACTCTTGTCAGTCTGTCCCAGGGCAGATGTGGCTATAATAGAAACTCACCACCACTGAGTGTGCACAAAACTGTAAAGCGTTTGGAAAAGCATCAGACACACATACTGCACGATGGTCAATTCTAATACGTAGTTTGTTCCATTACAGTACAGTGCAAATGTTATATAGTGCAAAGTGAATCAAAGTACATGAGTGATTTATATTTACATTTACAACAGGCTGTTCATTACTTTACTGAATAATAAGAAAATATTTTAAAAAGGCTGAATTGAGTATATTTAATAAATATGAGGGAAAAGCCCACATCTCTGATCCTGCTCAGCTCCTCGTGGCTCTCTGTCCGTTGACACAAACAGTCGACATTTCACACCTGACATTTTTGGCAAAGCTCAAAACTCTAAACCATGTCAGTCTAAACAGCTGTGTTTTCTAAGTACATTTTCTAAGTACATGCTACATTTTGTACATGTTCGATAGTGTACATGTCAGCTTTCCCTCGCGACTGGAGCTAAACCTGTCAGTCTTCATGCCTGGAATAAAACTAAGTGAAAGTGATTTGTTATTTAAATCATTGTAACTCACTTCTACTTCTGTATCTGTGTTATTAAGGTGCACTGTAGCTTTTCTGGTGTAATTTTATTTATTTTTTTGCTTGAAGACATTGATGCTTTACCTGGAAACACTTCTATCCAGCATGTGTTTCATTACGAGTGTTATTTTTATTGCGGGGCCTGTCTCCTCTCCACAGCTGACCTTTAGCTTGGCCTGGTTACGTCAAAATATAATGCCGTACTGTGGAATTCCAGGCAAAGCAATAACATCTCCATGGTGACGAGCAGGTGGTGGACCCTCCACAACTACCGTGTTCAATGGGAGCCGACATCACAATGAATGTTAGCGCAACAAAGAGCCGTGAAGTTGTCAGCACTTTCGATGGATAGCTGCTTAATTTGTTCCAAAATGACTACACAACATTAGCCAGGCTGGTGCCACCTAGTGCCTCCGCTCAATTTCATTTCTCTCCAGCGAATCAGAATACACTAGACGGTTTGCAAGAATCCCGGAAGTTGTAGACCGCGCACTGGGCAATCAACGAAGAGCTGTGAAGTCATGACGTCAAACTCAAGTGCCTGTCTGGGTCCCTTTTGTGGTACAGCACAACAGTAAACAAAGAGGTCGAGATGGATGTAGATGAAGACAGACATTCTGTGTTGGCAACGATTCGAGGAGATTGAGGATTTAAAGCTGGAACAAAGAGAATGTTTGGTGAACTTTATCAAGAGAAAAGACATCATTGCCCTTCTTCCTACAGGATTTGGTGCTTTACATATGATACAACCAAATAGTGACTGGTTAAATAAAAAAAGTACCTGCCTATTTTCGAGCGAACGGATCCTAATGCTGCGAGGTCAGATGGTTTCCACAAAGTGAAACTGGCTGATGAATCAGGCTAACACAACACTGCCAATCCTACACGTATCTCAAATTTCAGAAATGGAAAGCTTGATTTTGTAACATTTTGGCACTAACCATTAATTATCTACACAAAACAGAGCTACACAAGGTGTTGTGATCCTGGGGTCATCAAACACCAAAACAGTTCAGTTCTAACGCTAACTCTCCCATTGAAAATGCACTGGAGCTAACATGGAACCATACCAGCTAATGGAACACAGACGTTCTGTTTACAAACACTGTGAGGGTCTGTACTTGGGTTTCAGAATGATGAAGCTGTTGTTATAATTATTAAAGGACCTATACAGCTCAAAATTGACTCTTGTGAGCTTTAAGTCATATTATGATACTGGTACCTCCTCAAAAACTGACCTGGAGTTGTGTTTTGTTTCATTCACACATTATTGCACTTTACACTTCATTCACACGTTATTGCACTTTACACTTCATTCACACGTTATTGCACTTTACAGTTTATTCTCACTTTATTGCACTTTACACTTTATTCACACATTATTGCACTTTACACTTCATTCACACATTATTGCACTTTACACTTTATTCACACATTATTGCACTTTACACTTTATTCACACATTATTGCACTTTACACTTTATTCACACATTATTGCACTTTACACTTCATTCGCACATTATTGCACTTTACACTTTAGTCACACATTATTGGCCAGTAACGAAATTAATGGCAAGAAGTATTGTTCTTCATCGGTTTCTTTTTATTATTAATTTCTTCTGACAAAACAATCTCATTTTTGACCCCCAAACCCAAACTGGGTTTCAGATCGACCTGTACGGCGAAAAATTTTAGAAAATGGGCTTCACATCAATGCCTGAAGTGACCCGACTCAACAGCGCCGCCTAGAATTGGACAGATATGAGAATGGGGATAAGCAAAGTTTGAATGAAATTTGTTGTTTAATGAGATTATACCTCCTAACTGAGATAATTACTTGATATTAAACAAATTGACAGCTTACAGTTATAAAAGACCTGATGTTTCTTTTCATTTGAGCTTCTTTCACCTTTGATTGTTGTTTGAGGTGAGTAGAATAGCCGAAAATTGTACTCGAGTAAGAGTAACAGTACTTCAACATAATAATACTCAAGCAGAGGTACAAAGTAGTGCTCCAAAATATTACTTAAGTAACAATAAAAGAGTATTTGAAGAAAGTACTACTCAAGGGAGAGTAACTTAAAGCTGTCGGGATATAACATCTGCTTTATAATTTTTAAGTTAATGTAATTTGAAGGACAAAACAAATAATGCACAGAATCTGGTACAGGTATACAACTGGTTTCTGGTTCACAACTTGTTTTTGATGAGGAAACAACATTATAAAATAGATCAGAAAATTGTGTAATATTGGGCCTTGAAAATTTTGCAAAATATTAACTTTAGAGTGGGGTAAAGTCTTGACGCTGGACCCTGTGCTTGGCTCCTCCAGGCTCAGACAGTGAGAGGCAGTGGCTGTAGTGTCAGATAGCGTATCGCTCCTATCAGACCATGACTTTATCTGCTGTGTTTGCGCTCCTACACCTCCATCACTGATAACCTCTGCTCAGATACACACTGCATGGCTTTGAATTGTAATGTACGGGAGGAAACATGCAGTGAAGAAGACATATGCTTTTGGATAGAGGTGAGTACTGCACAGTTACATTTACTTGAGTAACTTTTTGAGGAAATTGTAGTTGTCAAGAGTACAAGTTTTACTCCTACTTGAGTAAGAGTTGAGTAGTTATGGAAGTAAGTTTTGGTTATGTTAAGCGACAAAGGCGTTATGTTGACAATATGAAATGATATGATTTAGTTTGTCTAATTGTCTGTGTCTGTTCTTTGAAAATACCAGATTTTGTGCATTACTTTATGTTTTGTTTCAATTATAA